AATTTTCTCTAAAGCTGATCAATGGTTTTTGCTCAGATTGAAAGATGGACAAGTCCATTTAAGATTTTTAGAGTGGTCGGGACAAAGTGATTTTGTTATTGATTTTATTGATTTACTCCATTGAAAAACAGATTTCTCTAAAATCCATCAAAATTTTTATCATGAAATTATTTTTTTTTATAAATCTTGCAATATTCCATCCAGTTAAACCAATAATGACGTTATCCACTTGACTGACAAAAAATGACTGAAGGCCTAGTAGCTTATCAAGTAGCAATTAAAATCTTTCCAGTTGTTAAACTTGAATTATAATGTTTATCCTTATTATGAGGGTGATGATTTGTTAAGATTTTAGACCCCCAAAAGAAAGGGAAAACAATTTGATAAGTCGGAAATCGTTATCAGTAACTCAGTAGCATTACTCAATAACTCTCCGGTTACAATTAAGTTATCTTATTGAATAATTTGAACCTAAGATGAGCATCATTAATTCATCCCTTCATTATCAATTCCTAGTGTTACAGTACAACTGAATATTTCATTTAGCAATTAATCTCTAAACCCGTTTTATCACTTTCTTTATTTTCGCATGAATGCTTATCATTCATTGTTTACAAACCGAGTCCCAAACATATCAGCAACTCCAACGCATACAACAGAAATAGACTTCTATTGTGTCTAATTTGATCATTTGTTGACAAAATGTTAACAAAATAAATCCGATAAATAGAATCTCTAAAATCTAACCTCTAACCCAAACTGTTAAGAAAATCTTTGGTATTATTCAGTTTGGGATCAAACTGTTTTACAAGAGTCTCACTGATAAGTAAACTATCATTGTTATTTTATGAACAGGTAACTTTAGCAAATAGGTAACGATTTAACTGACATAAAACTCCTGCCTATCTCACCACTATAATTTGTATTTTATGTGTATCAAATTGTCAGAGATAGGCCTATCTTATATCTGTTTTATAGACATATCTATTAGATTCCTATCATATTCCTAAACACCTATCTTGTTGCCTAAACATCTATCTTGTCACCAAACACCTATCTTGTCACCTAAACATATATCTTGTAACCTAAACACCTATCATGTTGCCTATAAATACCTATCTTGTCACCGAAACACCTATCTTGTTGCCTAAATACCTATCTTGTCACCAAACACCTATCCTGTCACCTAAACATATATCTTGTCACCTAAACACCTATCTTGTCACCTAAATACCTATCTTGTCACCTAAACACCTATCTTGTCACCTAAACACCTATCTGTCACATAAACACCTATATGTCACCTAAACACATATCTTGTTACCTAAACACATATCTTGTCACCTAAACACATATCTTGTCACCTAAACACCTATCTTGTCACCTAAACACCTATCTTGTCACCTAAACACCTATATGTCAACTTAACACCTATCATGTCACCTAAACACCTATATTGTCACCTAAACACCTATCTTGTCACCTAAACACCTATCTTGTCACCTAAACACCTATCTTGTCACCTAAACACCTATATGTCACCTATAGACCTATACTGTCACCTAAACGCACATCTTGTCACCTAAACACATCTTGTCACCTAAAAATATATCACACCACCTACACATATCTGGTTACCCACATTTTTTGTACACACACAACATGTTACCTACACACATTATTTTTTATGTCACCTTAACACAAATATTATGCCACTTGTTAACAATAAACATGTATTGATTTTGTAGACTAAAGTAGTTTAAAAATTTGCAGCCTTTCTGTTGTATTCTTTTAAAAGAATTGTCTGCAATAAATTGAAAATGATTCTGGGATTCTCAACAAGTTTGAATGCACCATCAAGTAAGTGGACATCCAGTAATCCTAGGCAGCATCTCTTCTATGTAGAAGATGGGAGCCAGAGTGGGATTTATATTATAATAATGGTACTTGGGTTGTTGATGCTTTTTTAGTTCATTTTAGCTTCAGTCATTTTGAAATTTGAAAAACAAGATGGAGTCAAATTGTTGATACAACATGCAGAAATGATCTAAGAAAACCTTACATGTGATGGTTAGAGAATATTTCCATATTCATAACTAGTAAAATATCATTCATATTTATAAACATCTTTAGAAATTTGATATTTCATAAATTTGCTTTTTCAGTTATTTTCAAGAGAAGAATTTTTTTCCATCATTCATCATTTCATTCATTTAATCATTAATTCCAGTGAAATTTTATTTTGGACAAGTTAAAGAAAAAAAATCTGCATTTTTTGATAACTCATTTATAACACTACAAATAACTCGATGACATTAGAAAATATCATAATATTTTAACAGATTAACGAAGATACAAGAAAACAGATGGGGGTCGTATTAAAGTCAATTTCTTGGTGATTTGTTGTTATTGTCATAATCCCTTCTTTTCTATCAATGACATGTTTATCCGATCTTAAACACAAAATACCAAACACGATTTAAGACATCTTATAACGCCATCGCTGGAGATTTTATACTTATACCTATCGAACCCTTGTGAAATCTTGAAACAATTTATCATTTTAATATCATACCCTAGTATTATAATGTCATCATTTTCTTCTGATATAAACCGCTGAAGTAATTTTACCAAAATATAAAAAATCCAAAATAAATATTGTAAATATTGACCAGTCCGAGTTTCAAGATGTCAAGTTTATCAATCAAGGACCGAAGAATCAAAATGGCCGCCCTCGTGTCTAAGCACTCTGTCAGACATTCAGAGCTTGTATCATCATGATCATATATTGAAAAGCCGAGAAACAAACAAAAATATTAAGTCAATTTATAAACAGCATTTAAATAATATGTAAATAACCCAGACACATTAAACAGTGGTTTGCAATAATGTTAAGTTATAAAGTATCACTTTCACTTAGATTTACACCCCAGATTACTGCAATTTGTTATATAAACATAATACTGATATGGTATAAAACATGCATTAAAATAAAGGATGTTCAACATTAATTTAAGGATATTGTATTTTGGTGCAACTAAGAAATATTTTTATTAGGAACAAAAAAGGTGAGATGGAAAAAAAACTTTTTACCAAAACAACATATTTTAATGACGACAAGATTTTAATCTTTTAAGGGACATTTTTTGGGGAGAGGCACGTTTTAATGGAAGCATATGGCATGTTAGGGTTTACATAAACTATACTGTATGCATGTTTTAACAAGAATTAAATGAAATATACTTAATTTCTATGAAATGCATAGTTCTTGTCAAAGTTTCCGAGGTAATGGTTTTCAATTAAAATGATTGTCATGCAATTGCCAACATAAAATCTCTATTCTCCCCGCATGAATTACCCACCTATTACAATAGTTAAATCAATATAATTGTTACTTTTTGTTGTCAGGATATTAGCGTAAAGCTTCAGTAAACACTGTGTCAAAAGACCACCTCAAAAAAAATTCTTTATAATGAATAATCAGGATTTTAAAAGAATTGTGGTACTGTATCCATGGCCAAGTGGTAAAGGTCGTTGACTTCAAGGTACTTGCCCTCTTCACTATGGGATCGAATCCCAACAGGGACTTTCGATTCTTTTATGTAAGGAAGCTATCCAGCTAGCTTGCAGAATGACAATGGTTCTACACATTGCCTATGCACAGATTGAAAAATGAGGCTTTCCTCCACCACTGAAGCTGGAAAGTTGCCATAATTATGACCTATATTGTGTATCATTATGCCCAACTTAAATAACAATGCTTTTTTGTAGTCCCATCGAGATGACAATCTTGCCAACGTGACACTGATATCAGACAGAGGGGGTCAAAGAATTTAGAACAATCCTGTTGTTGCTGGCCACCATATGACAACATGTCTGTTTTTCCGTTTTGTTTTTATGCTAATTGAGTCTGTTTTGGTGGTCGATCCACTATTAACTGCCTGTGATGAGACCATTAATTACAATGGTCTTTGAAATGACCTGGCCAGGAATCAAACCCTTAACCTTTTTCAATCAAGGTGTTAACTTCTTAGATAGACACCTGTATTTTTAAACCTGTTTATCTACAGGTATTTGGATGGTAATCAAAATAAAACAAATAGTTTTAATTTTATACAATTCCAGAAAACTAAAATGGATACGTGACACTGACATCCTTTCCTGACGTAACACATGCATTTACAAAACTAACCAAGCAACATGTCTAAAGGCAGTCTCTAGACTATTATTATTCACAAACATTGACATTTTAGTATTAAAATTGTCCTTTTAACTTTAATGACGATTATTTTAAAACAATAATTTACATTACAATCATAATCTACTTTTGTTCATTTTCCCTCAAGTTCAAGTAATGACTTACACGTTACCAATGTGTACCATAAAATACTAAAATACCTTTTAACATTATTATCAATATCTGCGGCATCAAACGTTCACGTCATTTCTCAAACCCATGTTGACCGTAACATCTGAAAATACAGAACAAAATGACACTTGCTCAATTTCCACATCAAAAGAAACAAACCAATATAATATGCATATTAAAAAAAATGTGAGCAACATTAGAAATAAGGAAGACTTTAATATTTGATGACTTTGGTGCCATTGTGAGGGAGAGCTTGTCTACGCTATCCACTTAAGAGTCTAAATTAAAGCTCACGTTAAAAAATATCACTCAGAAAATACAGATTCTGACTATCTCTATATTAATTATGAATGCAAGGAATTGTGAAAAACTGTGAAAAAAAAAAGCAACCAACGTATCTGCTTGGAAATATTCAGTGCAAACATGTATAGCGTTATTAGAAGATTTAAAGATACTGGTTAATGGCTTTTAAATTTTTTGACGTCATTTAAGTATCATTTTTTGAAAACAGTTTTAAATTATTCAGTTATAATTCAAACTAAGGTGAATGAGTAAAAAGTTAACTACTAAGCTTATTACTATGAATCTTATGTCTAGGGTCAACTGGGTCCAATACCAACCCCAATTCAGGTTAGAATACTATATAAATGTATATATTAACATTAGACTGGGCCAAGATAACACAAGGGCTGGCTGACATGAGGGCACTGCTGACACAATACAGCACTGCTGACAAGAGGGCACTGCTTACAAAGGTGCACTGCTGACACGAGGCCACTGCTGACACGAGGGCACTGCTGGCAAGAGGGCACTGCTGACACAAGGGCTGTGCTAACATGAGAGTACTGCTGACATGAGGGCACTGCTGGCAAGAGAGTACTGCTGATACAAGGGCACTTCTGACAGAAGGACAAAGCCAACATGAGGGCACTGCTGACACAAGGACAATGCTAACATGAGGGCACTGCTGACACAAGGACAATGCTAACATGAGGGCACTGCTGACACAAGGGCACTGCTGACATAAGGGCACTGCTGACACAAGGGCAATGCTAACATGAGGGCACTGCTGACCCAAGGACACTGCTGACATAAGGGCACTGTTGACACAAGGGCACTGCTGGCACAAGGGCACTGCTGACACTAGGGCACTGCTAACATGAGGGCACTGCTGACACAAGGACACTGCTGACATAAGGGCACTGTTGACATGAGGGCACTGCTGACACGAGGGCACTGCTGACACAAGGACAGTGCCAACATGAGGGTACTGCTGACACGAATGCAGTGCTAACATGAGGGCACTGCTGACAAAAGGGCAGTGCTAACATAAGGGCACTGCTGGCACAAAGGCTGTGCTAACATGACGGCACTGCTGACACAAGGGCAATACTTTCATGAGGGCACTGCTGACTCGAGGGCTCTGCTGACATGAAGGCACAGCTAACACAAGGGCAGTGATAACATGAGGACAATACTGACACAAGGGATGTGCTAACACGAGGGCACTGCTGACACAAGAGCATTGCTGACACAAGGGCAGTGCTAACACCAGGGCACTGCTGACATGAGGGCACTGCTAACACGAGGGCACTGCTGACACAAGGGCAATGCTAACATGAGGGCACTGCTGACACAAGAGCATTGCTGACACAAGGGCACCACTAACACCAGGGCACTGCTGACACAAAGGCACTGCTGACACAAAGGCACTGCTAACATGAGGGCACTACTAACACCAGGGCACTGCTGACACAAAGATACTGCTGAAACAAGGGATGTGCAAACATGAGGACATGAGGTCTGAGCTGTCTCTAACAACCTTACTGACATTATTTATCTTAAATATCTTCCTCAAGGACATAGATAAAACAGGGTATAATATACATTATCAATCCATATTATAACTTTTACTTCAATAACATAATTATACCTGCATCTGACAGTTTTCCAGCATTTAAATTATATATTATGTTTCATCAATTTATTTTCACGTAATTCTTCCCCCCCCCCCTTTTATTTGCCCTTTCAGAGAATGTTTATTTGATACAAAAGCTGTAACTTCAGAATAATATTGTGATCATGGTCAAAATAGGAGTAATTTTACTGTATGTGTAAAGTCTTCTAAGCCAAGTGACACATAACTTCATTATCTTCCTCCAAATTTCTATATTCTGTCATTTTCTATCAATATCAATAAAGAAAGTTTTTCTGGGGAGAAAAAATGGATTCATAATATAATAAGACAATCATCCATCTTCCCTGCTCCGATGATTTTTTTTCCGTATAAGACTCTCGTAATCTGCAATTGTATTTATTCTGCGGATTGTATTTATTCCGCTGTTGTTCATTTCCACGGAATAAAAAAAACGGCCTCTTATCGAATCAAAATATGAGATTATTTTACGAGGTTAAACAAACTTGTCATAGGAAATATCCGGAGGTTGTCTAAGTCCGTTATTGATGCTCTAAAGTAAGAGTTTTAATTGACGACTTCTGCCAAATAGTTTTCTCTCAGCTGCTGAATTAAATGATGAAATATACGTTCTTTCATCATACATAGAATTCTTTGTTTAGTTAACTAGAAGAAAATTTCAATTGTGATAAGCTAAATGTTCAATCTCTTTCTATGCCAGTTTGGAATTTCATATTTATTATTTTGTTATATTTCAACTAATTAAATTGTTACATTTTCAAGAAAAGTTGGTTATTTTATCATGGAGAGAAGCCAAAGTTTAAAATGGTAATAGATCTTTAATTTTATCACAGAATTTACCATCTTTATTGTTTTCTGTCAGTTGAATATATTTGCTTATTAGTTGTATATATTTAAAATAATCTTTTTTTATTTTTACAAATTTGATAGAAAAACAACGTTTTTGAAAATAAAAAATTAAAACAAAAAATGCAGATCTTTCATTCACGTAACTTATAAAACTTAGAACTCCAGAACCACTTACTGTATAAAATCTATTTATACCATATTCAAATAATAATCTATTGAGCTTATTTGATCTTAATTATCGAGAGAAAATAGCAAAAAATATATCACTAAAACTGTGTTGAGTCAGTGTAAACAGAAGTAAAGTACCCATCTTACATAATTAGGATAGAACACATAAATACCTGATTGTTTACACATCCATTATAAATACATACTCATTATGCATAACTATCAAAGTGCCAAATTCCACTTTTTTCAGTCAATAGCTCACATTATTTCACATAAATCATTTATTTCCCATTAGAAAGAAGTAACACATTTATTATGCAGGTCCATCAGTTAAAACACTAAAACCAGTATGTGGTCAATCCACTAAAAGCCCCTAATTCATTTCAAAGGGACAATTTTACAACCAATAAAACATTTTCATCTGACAGTTAACTGGTCCATACTGACCAATGAAAACCAAGTTACAAGGTCATTAAAATGTTTCACAGCCAGTCTCTTTATTGTAACTGGTAAGACAGATGGACTAAAGAATAAAACTCTAGTAATGTATAGCTGACTTAACTAAGGTATAAAGTAGAATATATAATATAGACAGATGCACCATGATTGGTCTGTTAGATTTTAGCCCTTTTCTGATAATATCCATATTTATTAACAATAAACTATAATAAACTTATAATAATTAAACAGTGGTCAGTCCCTTTTTTGTTTGTTTGTTTCATTTTACACCTTTTCCCAACAGTATTTCAGTCATATAGGCAGGTAGTTTCCTGACCATCGTTCCTGGAGAGTTACACCAGTACTAGACTACCTTCCTCCGCGCTAAACTACCAAAGCATCTCCCGGGGATCGAACCCACCGACTCTAACCCCTCGACCACGAGGGCGGTTCCCTTTTTTTGATTTTTTTTTATCTAAAGTTGGGTTTAATACGTTAATACACCAACACTGTAAAATGACATAGGGCATAAAAATAAAATTAATGATAACAAATGAATAAATATACTTTTTTTATGTCATGAATGAATGAATGAATGAATGAACGATTGAATGAATTAATGAATGTATGAATGATTGATTGATTGAATGAACAATTGAATGAACGATTGAATGAATGAATGAATGATTGAATGAATGATTGAATGAATGAAATGTTCTATTTTCCCCTATGTTAACAATTTCAGATAGGATCTTATATCAGATGGTAAAGTATGTTTCAAGATTTCAACAGTGGTTAATATTTGTCAATAAAACATTGATTAGATGTCAGATAATGTCCTACAAACAGTTAAAGTACCCCCTCAATTAGTATTGTCCTACAAACAGTTAAAGTACCCCCTCAATAATAAACATTGACTGCTTTATTGACTTTTTTCATTTTAAAGAAGGTATGTAATAATGTATCATTGTTATACAACATGGAAAATAGCATGACAATTTGGAAGAATCGGACAACTTTAATATAATCTTTTTGCTATTGCAGTCAAAGAGAATGTAGCATCTAAAAAATTGATACACATCTTGAAAATAAGACTTGGAAACTTAAAAATAATCTCCAAGACTGATTGCAAACATTCTAAGTATCAGTTTCTATATATTTATGTTACTTTTCTTCTTGTAGGCAACTGTGTCAAGAAAAATGTTGTTCAATCACACTTGTTCCAATCAAAGCAATTTAGTCTAGAAAATACAGGATAAAAATTTAAACATTTAAAATTCAAAACTTCAACTGTAAAACTTACAGTTTCTTCAGTCCTGGAGGTTACATTTAACTTCAAGTATTCATTGAAAATACTCAAAATAACTAATTCATTTCTAGAATTCAAATTACCTTTACAATCTTTTTTTCTTTCAAAAAATAGTTGGAAAACCTCAAGGATATCTCTGACACTAGAAAGTATAATTTTCTACATTTTTGGTGAACAAAAGTTCAGAATGTGTCACAAATACCTATATTTAGAATAGTTGTCAAGAACCTCTTCCAAAATACAGGGGTTTTCTCAGTGGAAATTACAACTTTTCCTAAGCCAAGCCCCAAAGTGATCCCTTTATAGCTTTCTTACCTGCAGGGAACCACAGAAAACCCCCAACCAGTCACACTATTTAACTAAGGGAATGAATAAAAATAACCAGTCTGTGTCTCACAAATTAAGACAAATCTCATTGGTAATATTCTTCATGGGGTGCTGCCCTATACACCCATTAAAACAGGGTTTCATGTTTTAGAACATATTCCATTGTGCATAAAGCTTGAGTATCCCTACAGAATTTAATCAAGCAGACCATATTAATGTGATCAAATTAATGGACCATGTGCTTGCTTGTAAAGAACAAATGAATATATTTTCTTCTAAATGTGCATTTAGGAGTCAAGTTGATGTTACCCAAACCAGTAAAGAAATGTAAGAATTTTAACACTTTGATCCTATTTAATGTTACAGAAAGTACACTACAGTATGGTGGAGGTTTTTAACTGTGATATCAGAGATAAAAAGAAACATAAAAAGACGGAATCAAGCTGAGAAAAATCCCATAATTCATCATTAAATACCAATCAAGACAGTTTCTAAAACATATTTCTGTCTAAACAATACTTTAAAGTTACCAGGTTAAATAAAAAGAACAAGGAAACAATGACAGTGGCAATATACTTAACATCAAAAGCATCATTTCACCAATTCCACAAGAACTTTATAAAATACAAAATGATTATCTTTAAACTGCCAGACAACAATAACTAATGGTTTAACCCAGCTGAGATAAAGACTAAGTCAAAATTGATCAAAAATGTTTAAAATCAATCTGACCAGATTCCCAGGGTGCATTTTGGGTAAAAGGTAATTTAGTTTCAATGATTTATTTTTAACGATTGTGATGTGAAAGTATTAATTAGAGAACTCTTATTTAGACAAACTGTCTGAAGATATGCTGTGATGATTGAAAGGTAGATTAGCCATGAAATACTGAGACTGTTTAGCAAATTTCTTTAGAAAGTAACTTACATTTTGTCCAAAAAAAATTAATACAGTAACAGCTAATCCCCATACTTAAAGTGATATTGGTTTAAGATCAGTCCAATACAATTATGCAAAAAGAATCAGCAACATTGAAAGTCCAAAATATACTGGGAATTGTAATAAGGTCTGCCCTGTGAATATCTAAAGAGAACTGTAATTTGATCAGTCCAATACCCAAAGAGAACTATAATATGGTCAGTCCAATACCTAAAGAGAACTATAATATGGTCAGTCCAATAACCAAAGAGAACTATAATATGGTCAGTCCAATACCTAAAGAGAACTTTAATATAGTCAGTCTAATACCTCAAGAGAACTGTAATATAGT